GAACTGCTCTTCCCTCCCAACACGTCTGGTCAATGAAAGGAGAGAAGTGTTATTTTTTTTCACTCTTCTCTTGAACCAACTTTGGTCATCAGAGTTACACATTGTTCAGTTCCTGTTCATTGCTATTTCTACTTACATTTTGTTTTGTAGTCATTGGATGTATTTACTTTACTCTGCATTGGTTCTAAGTTTTCCCGTGTTTCTATGAATTGTTTATATTGCGGTTATGTACAGAGCAATAATATTCCATTAAAGTCATGCAGCTTTTTTTACTTAGTCATGCTTAGTTATTCTTCAACCAATGGGGGCTTACATCACTTCCAGTTCCTTGCTACTATGGAAATTGTGGTATACATGGCACCTTCCTTTCCGTCTTTGCCTTCTTTGAGGTATATGCCTTAAAGTGGGCTCAACGAATATGGACATTTTATACACTTTATAAAAGCATATGTTCTGGGCCAGTCCCTTGGTAATTTAGGTTCAATATTGGAATGAAATGAAGCATCAGTATAGATAACTTTATACTACAAAAGAGGATTATTTAGCCATAGCATGAGGATTATTTGACAAGGAAAGACGTTGAGGAAATTTGAAGTTGATTCAACTGAGTGACAATCCCTTGACTGAATTATCAATTGATATCTTTAGCCAAGCACCAGAGAGAGCTCCTGGGATTCCTTATGTCTACTTTTTACCCAGGCTACCAGGAGAGGTGTGAACAGCCTGAGTCTTTGGTCCCCTGAGCCAATCAAGTCTTTGTGATCATCTCAGTAACGGTTTAAGGAGAAACGCACGTAATTTGTCAGGTTAGGACATTACTCCCACTACAGCATAATTCCCAATTGGTTTCCAAAATGATTAGATTGATTCATAGCTTTACCAATAGTGTATTAGTGTGCCTGGATCCCTGTAACTCCTTCAATAATGATGCTTTCCAAGTCTGGGGAATTTACTGGATATGAAGTGAAACCTCAGAGCTGTTTTAATTTATATTTCTCTTTGTACAGTGTGTGTGTGTGTGTGTGTGTGTGTGTGTGTGGGATGATTTTTCCCTCCAGCCTAGTTAATGTCATACCAGAAAATAAGGAGCTAACTGAAAGACAAGGTGTTAATGTGTTAAAATGAAGTGTAAAGATGAGATGACAACCAATTAGCTCTTTCCAAAGTATGAAAAAATATCCCTGTAGAAACTGGAAGGGAAGGTGATTGTTGGCTGGCTAAATATTGTCCATACCTCTGTAGACTCTGAAAAGCTAAGCCTGCTGGCAGCCAAGATATATTAGAAGTACTTATCCCTTTAAAATGATAAAGAAGATGGGGCAGCTAGGTCGCGCAGTGGATAGAGCATCGGCCCTGGAGTCAGGAGGACCTGAGTTCAAATCTGGCTTCAGACACATAACACTTACTAGCTGTGTGACTCTGGGCAAGTCACTTAACCCCAGTTGCCTCACCAAAAAAAAAAAAAAAATGATAAAGAAGATTCCCTCATGGAATTGGAAACACTGAAGCTTAGCCATCAGGGGTAGGGACTGTCTTCTGCCCTTCTACTTCCATTATTTCATAAAGAGATTACCCCTGTGTAGCTTAGTAAACATTGTCTGCTGGAGTCAGGAAGACCTGAGTTCAAATCCGGCCTCAGACACTTACTAGCTGTGTGATCCCGGGTGAGTCACTTTACCCTGTTTTCCTCAGTTTCCTCATCTATCAAATGAGCCGGAGAAGGAAATGACAAACTACTCCAGGATCTTTGCCACGAAAATCCCAAATGGGGTCATTAAGAGTCAGACACGACTGAAATGACCAAACAACAATAACCAAGCATCTGAGCGTAGCAGAGGCCTGGTAAATGAAGCCAGACTGGAGACCTGGTGACTAGAGGCTAATGATAATAATTAAAACCACAATAATTTATTTAATTTATGGGATTTATGGTTTGCTAAATGCCTTCCACCTATTATCTCATTGTCATCTCGGAACATTTTTGGACATATAGCATAGTATTATAAAGTAGTGAAACCGTGTTCCTTTAAAAATATCTTATGGTCTGTAGTTGTGGAAAAACACAGAATTGTAGACAGCAGCTGTGGAGATAACACTTGTTATTCTACTTTCCATAAGTTGAAAAATGCACTCATCTCAGGACAGGTTATGTTCTGGGAACGTTCACACGAGAAAAACTGTGCCCACCCCTTCCTGATATCCAGCTGATCTCAGAATTGACCTTTACTGTGATTGGTTTAAAGCGTTCTTGCTAATGCTGCAGAATGATGCCTAAAAGTGGTGTATAAAAAGAATACATTGATTCGATTCCCTTAGTACGTCCCCAGATAGCTGAATTAAGACCTTTTTTGCTGGGTCTCCAGACTCCTGCTTACTCACTGACCCTATTTTCATGGACACACTGAGCTTGATCAGGAATGACCCCTGAGGGTCAGCTTCAAATTTAATTCCACCAGACTTTTCACCAAGCTATGGTCTTCATCTGCCAGGGCCATCCCCGTGCAAGACCCACTGACTCTCAGTGAGTTTCTCTTTCTCTTATGCCTTGCTTCTGTACCTAAAATTCTATGTGACCAGCAATCTGAATTAGTACGTAGATCAGAGTAATAGTTTTTGAGTTAGAAAGACCTTAGAGATTATGTGAACCAGGACAACTTCCCTATTTTGCATATGAGGCCTTGAGAGATGAAGTGACTAACGCCAGCTAACAGCGGAAATCAATGACACTGCCACAATAGAACCCATGTCTCCTGGCTCCAAATTCAGGTTCAAACAGCCAAATACCCAGTTTAAATTCTGTTGTGGGCGTGGTTAGCTAGCATGATCTGCACCCAAGATTCTAAGTCTGATGCCAAATGTAAAGTTAAGACAGAGGAAACACACCAATCACACAAGCACTTTAAACAACTTTAATGGGTATGATAATAATTGGTATATGGGATGTCTTATGACAAATGTGGTTACAATGACATCAAATATTCAGTCAACTTGCCCATTTGTGTTACCAGCTTTCAAGGACAGTTTTTCCCACCCCCAAGAAAAGTAAACCAGTTTTTTTTTATTCATTTGGTTTTCTCCATCATCCATTACAACCACTATTTTTAAAAGCAAGGTGTGAGTGATACATTCATTTGACAAAGAAGGTTAAAGGCAAAAAAGGTGAATTATCGTACAAATTAGTATCTGGTCCAGCTATGATCTGCCCTCTCTTCTGAGAGGAAAAAGATTGAGTCATGCATCTGTGCAAGAATGATGAAAGTCAAACAAGTGACATGGAATCCAAAGAAATCCCAACAAGGACTAGGCAGGAGATGAGATGTTCAAGTCTATAGCTCAGCTGTCTTTGGGGCTTAGGCCTCCTTATCTCTGGACCCTGACCACCTGTGTTGATCATGTCCAATGAGGCCACATTTCCATGTGAAGCTAGAGACTGAATTAAAAGTTCTAGGCTGGCAATGCCCAGCAGTGGTATCCTAGCAATCTACTGTATGAAGGTAGGACATAGCCATGATGGCTCTCAGAGGAGGCCAGGACACAGCTATGCTTTTGCATTTGGAAGTAGGAACAAGAGATTCACATATCAGCAAATGAGAAACAGAAATCACTTACATGCCTACGTAATTCTTAATATTTATAGTCATTTTCCCCAGAGGCTAAAAACACATTGCAGATGTGGCCTTATTCATCCTCAAATTTATCTGGGAGGCAGGTAGGGGAGGGAACATTGGAGATGAGCATCACTTCCATTTTACAGATGAATAAGTAAAAATACATAGAGGGTGGTCAACTTGAGTATGGTCACATAGAAGGTGTCACAAATAGCATCCATTTCTCCTGTGTCTCAATGATCTAGGCAGGCTGGCCTGTCTGCCTATTTAATAAACACTATGACATCTCATGCAAATGATTTCCTCTATGGTTGCACTGGCGATGTTCTCCTTATGAGGAAGAGAAGTTAAAAGTCTGTCTCCCTAAGTCAGTCCTATCAACGATCAACCTACTTTAGGCCCTCATCCCCTTTTATCTGGACCATCGCCATTACAGATGGACTGGTTTCATTTCTTTGGCAAGATGACTTAAAGCACACCAACAGTGATGAAATTCTTTATGATCAAATCAAGTCTTTCCCATAATGACAATAGGAAGAACTGTTAGTAGGATTTTTCTGAGCAGTCCTTCAGTCTGAGGTCTACATCTCTGGCTCCCCGTCCCATCAATGAACCATCCCTCTTTGGGATCAGGATGTCTCAGTCTGAGCATCCAATTTCCCTGGGTTCCTTCAAGTCTCAGATAAAATGCCACCTTCTGCAAGAAGTCTTTCCCAATGCCCCTCAAGGATAGTGCCTTCCCTCTGCAGATTGTCACCAGTTTATCTTGGTTGCAAGTTTTCTTACCCATTAGTCTGTGAGCTTCTTGAAAACAAGGATTCTCCCCTTAGCACAGTGTCTAGCACACAGTAGGTGCTTAATAAATGATCATCAATTGATGGATTGACTAATATACAATACAACTGGGACCTTGTGTAAAAGTTTCTCTGGTAAAAAAAGGATGCTTTTTTTTTTCATGTCCTATTGACACGAATTGTAATTGTTCCTATGAATCCAACATGTACATCTCAAGCTCAACATGTTTAAAACAATTCATTATCTTCCCTCATAAACCTAGCCATCTTTTGACCTTCCCTGTTATCGTGAAGGACACCATTATCATTCTAATCACCCAGGTTCTCAATCTCCAGGTCATTTTTGACTCCCCCCTCACATACAATGAATTACCAAATCTAGTGGGGGCCATCTCCAGTCATCGTGATCTATATCTGGATGTCCTGATCTATAGCTATACCTTGATCTGTATCTGTGACCTATATCCAGACCCAGAGGGCTCTGGAGGAGAAAGTGAGGCTAGTGACTTTGCACAGCCCTCCCTCACTCAAATCCAATTCAATCGCAAGTCATGGCATCACCTTCCTGATGTCATCATCCTCTTTGAGAACAAAGAGTAAACAGAAACAACAACAACAAATCTAGTCATTTCTTTCTCTCCATCAGTCACATCTATTCCCTTCCCTCCACTCATGTAGCCTCCAGACTACTTTAGGCCCTCGTCACCTCTCATCTGGGCCATAGCCTTGTGATTGGTTTCCCTGCTTCAAACCTCTTCCCATTCCAATCCATCATCCATAACAGCTGCCAGAATGATATTCTTAAAGTTGTAAGGCTGTAATTTCCACCAGTAAAGTTGTAATTTCAAAATGGCTCTTGAATGCCTCTCCGATCAAATGTAGATTTCTCTTTTTGACATTTAAACCTCTTCCCAATATGGTGCCTTCCTATTTTTCCAGGCATCTAACACATTACTCCCTTCCCTCGCTCTATGGTTCAACTATACTGGCCACATACATTCCATCTGCCATCTTTTTTCAGCCTTTGCATTGGTTGAATACCATACCTGGAATGCTCTCCCTTCTAACCTCCAACTCTCAGAATCCCTAGCTTTCTTTAACATATAATTTAAGGGCTAATTCCTATAGGAGACTTTTTTTTATTGTTCTATTATCTGCTAATATTATGCATTTTAAGGCTGCCTTCCATCTCTGGATTTATCTGTGTATGTATTATCTCTCTCATTAGAATGAAAACTCCTTCAGGTCAGATACTTTTCCCTTTTTATTGGTATCCTTGGGGCTTAGCACAATGCTTGGCTATAGTAATTGCTTAATAAATGTTTGTTGATTGATTCCTTAGGCAGAGTCTGAACTCTCTGGTAGGTACATAAAACTTCAGGGGCAGAACCCAGCATCACCTCTTGGTTAAAATGCTGCAGCTTAAGTGAATTTTCTTGTTGTAACATGATCTTTTGTTTCCCAGAGTGGGGTTCTGGTATTCCTTTCGTGCTCCTCAACTGGCCAAGACCTCTGGGAGTCAATGAATAAATCAGCTAACTACCAATTTATTAAGTACCCTAGCTGCTGGGAACATTAAGACAAACATGAAACAGGCCCTGTTTTCAAGGGACATACATGTTAAATTTAGGACAGTGGGTGTTGTTGGGTAGGAGAGACTGGAGAGGAAGAGGTGGGAGTAGAGACATCACCAGTAGGGGCCATGGCCAGAACAGCCACTTAACCCTTTCTACCTTATTCTATAAAGACCCTACTAGGCTCACGAAAGAACCTTCATGGCTGACAAGTAACATGAAAACTACTCTGATATTCCTGAAAATATGAGAAGATAAAATGGAGGAAAAAAATTTGTATTTTTTTTAATTGTTAGGTGGAGGATAGAGAAATTTTCCTGTTTTGTTTCCTGTTGTCTTTAAAAGAAAATAACCTGTACCCTCTAAGAAGCGGCTCCTGTCCTCTACTAAATCCTTGTAGTAAAGGGTTATGGTGGCCGAATGCTCTATTTTGGCACCTAAGAGGAACCATGCCACTTCTGGACAGTGGTAGGAGAAAGGATGTAGGCTGGGTGGCCACCCATTGTTATTGTTTAGGGGCATAGTACATCATTTGCGGGAGACCAGAGGGATGGAGGAAAGCACAGAGTTCCTGTATACCAAACATGTTATTATCTATGAGCAGCAAGAGTTACCCTGTAAGTTCTTTGAGGGCAGGGACTTAAAAAAATTTTTTTTTGCCTTTCTTTGTATCTCCAGAGCTTAGCACAATGCCTGGCGCAAAGTAAGTACTTTAATAAATGCTTGTTGACTGACTGAAATAATATCGGACCAGGTTTTACATTCTCTATGTAATTTAGACTGTGCTCATCACAGGAGAGGGGGTGATGACATGTTTGAAAACAGGTAGAAAAAATATTTGTATCCCACCAGGATATGGATGTTGTAAAGGTCAGTATGGTGATTGAAGCTGTTGTTAAAAAAAATATATATTTGTGTGGGCCTCATTTTGTCCAAGTGAACAATCTTTTTTTCCTACTTTATCTTCTCAGCTTTTGGGGAATAATAGAAAGAATAGGTTTCACAAATGATTCCATTTCCTTAAAAGGGTGCTGGTATTTAATCAAGTTTCTTTATGCAGGAAATAAATACCTGCCCTGGCTTGTCCATACAGTGAGTAAGAGGAGAATTAGCAAGTGCAGGCATAGGGGCCAAGAAATGAATTGATCACACAGTAAATTCCCTGTCTAGAGGGATGTGTAGCTGAGAAATTGAAGAAATGCCTTCAGAATACATCTGCAGCTGACCTGGGTTTACTGAAAGTTAATAAGGCCATGGCCAGCAATCTCATGGGCCCATGGAAAGGATTCTGTGAACTCCTTCAGATAAAGCGTAGGCCACAGCATACTCAGAGGTCTCTGTGATACTGCCTTTTCTGCATCCCTGCCCCAATATCCAAATACTCCCACGATTTCTGGTGGGCTGACACCCTTACTTGTCTCCTTCTCCTACCTCAAACTAAGTTCACCTTAAAGGGCCCTCATTGGGCCATCAGCAAGCTTGCAAGTGAATGGGCTTTTCCAACAGAAGTGGGATGTCTTGGGCATCCTTAATCCGAGACACCTTGTGAAGCAGAGAACTAAGGAACACGTCAGGATCTGAAACTCACTTGTTAATTCTGCCCCTTGGCAGACTCCCTCCTTTCATGCACTTTTTATTTTGATCATTCCTTAATTAGGAGAAGAAAGAGCCTGCAACCATTTCTGCAGAGCTGCAGCTGGGGTCCAGGACCAGATAAACAGAGATTAAAAAGGAATCCAAGAAACATGAGCTTCTGCAGATGAAAACCCCTCTAGTGATCATTTTCTCGGGCTTTCTTTTATGGAGATTTAATATGATTTCCCACATAAAAGCCATCCTTGCTCCCCCAAAAGTACATCCCTTCTCCAAAGCAGTGAGGGTGGTCTGGGCTTCCATGTTGTCTCACTCAGTTGAGATTCAATTTGGATTCACCTAAAAATGGTAGCTCTTTTTTTTTTTCTTAAAGAGAAGGGAAGCAGAAACCAGAAGAGAAGAAAAATAAAAATTAAAAAACAAATAACCAAACAACAAAACAATAAAACCAACAAAACAGGCCACAGGATTGTCATTGAATGCGTATCAGGTAATTAGCATTAATGCTACTGGATAAGCACTTTTAAATTAAAGAACATATATGTCTTTTCCCATTCTGTGTTCCTCTGTTAGGAGTCATCATAAAGTGGGTTGTTATAGTTGCCCCAGGATCCATAGTCATGGTCATCCAGCAGCCTTCCGTAGGAGGAATGCCTGGGAGAAAAGCGAAGCGAGAGGGTTTGGTTACTTAGAGGTGGCCCAGATTCTCATTTCATCCACGTCTATTCTCTGCTTTGGTGAAATTATAATCTAGCTCTCGGTGATATCACTGGCCCTATTCCACCCTCAAGAATCCACTCTAATTATTCTGGGTATGGTTTTTGGTAAATCCCATTTGGAGAATCTAACATCACCTCCTTCCTCTGGGCCTTTTAATATTTTAGAGGCTCCATGGCAGATCATTCTGCCTACCTGTTCCTTTTTTTTTGTTTTAACCACTTACCATCTTTACCATCTTTTTACCATTGCTCTTTCTACCTGACTTGTTTCTTTTCTGTTCATAAATGCCTCTCGTGTTATTTCTCATATGAATCTGAAAGCTGAGAAAATGTAAACCTTTTAGCCAATTCTTTCACATTCCTTCCCCTGATGCTGGCTGTTCTCAGATTGGGAATGAAATCAAGATATTCTAATAGGAAATGGGATCTAATGATATATCTATATATATATATATATATATATTTTAAAGTTGTCAGATAGAATTAATCAGAAAGGTATGGAAGTCTCTAGCAATAAGACTTCTCTTGTGTTATAAAAAAGTGAGGAAAATTCTTGTTGCAACAATGTCTTTGATCTGTTATCCTTAAGACTCTCTGGTCTCCTTTGAAGTATGGATTAGGTAGATGGCCCAGTTGATAAAAGTGCTGGACTTGAAATCAGAAAGACTTGAGTCCAAATTCTGCCTCAAACATTCTCTAGCTCTGTGGCCCTGGGCAAGATACTTAACCACTGTCTGCCTCAGTTTTCTCATCTGTTAAATGGTAATAATAATACTACCTACCTCCAAGGACTATTGTGAGTATCAAATGGGATTATACCTACATACCTCCACACATACATACATATGTGTATATAGTTTTGCAAACCTTAAAGTGCTATATAAATACTAGCTATTATTATTATTATTTTTAAAATAATATTTTATTTTCCCCCCAATTACATGTTAAAACAGTCTTAACATTTTTTTAAAGTTGTGAGTTTCAAATTCTATCTCACCCTTCCCTCCCCCCTCCCTGAGATGGTAAACAATCAGATATAGCTTATACAAGTGCAATCAATATAAAACATTTCCATATTAGTCATTGTGTACAAGAAGACTTGAAGAAAGAAAGAAAAAGAAAGAGAAAGGAAGAAAGAAAGTGAAAAATAGCATGCTTCAGTCTGTATTCAGACAATATCAGTTCTTTTTCTGGAGGTGGATAGCATGTTTCATCACGAGTCCTTTGGGATTATTTTGTATCGTGTTGCTGAGAACAGCTAAGTCATTCACAATTCTTCATCATACTATATCGCTGTTACTGTGCACAGTGCTCTCCTGGTTCTACTTACTTCACTTTGCATCAGTTCATGTAAGCCTTTTCAGGTTTTTCTGAAATCATCCTGATTGTCATTTCTTATAGCACAATAGTATTCCATTACAATCATACGCCACAACTTGTTCAGTTATACCTCAATTGATGGGCATTCACTTGATTTCCAGTTCTTAGCCACCACAATGACAGCTGCTATAAATATTTTTGTACAAATAAGTCCTTTCCCTTTTTTTAAAAAAAATCACTTTGGGATTACTGGATCAAAGGGTGTGCATAGTTTGATTGCCCTTTGGGCATAGTTCCAAATTGTTCTCCAGAATGGCTGGATCAGTTCAAAACTACAACAGTGCATTAGTGTTCTTACTTTTCCACATTTCCTCCAACATCTATCATTTTCCTTTTTGGTTATATTAGCCAATCTGATAGGTGTGAGGTGGTACCACAAAGTTGTTTTAATTTTCTAGCCGTTATTAGTAAATCAAGATAGGGAATGTTCTTAATCCCTTGAGAAATCAGAACTGATGATTGGGTTAATAAAAGTAATATACTTGGTATACTTTTTTTTTGTTAATGAAAGAAAGTGTTAGTTTTCTGAAACGACCTGCTTCCTCAAAGTGTGCCCACTTTACCACTGTTTCCTGTAAAAAAATAAATCAGAAACAATAACTGAAATTTAAGTTCTTTTGTTCTTTGATTGGTGTGGAATGTCTTTATCTTTTATCAGCAAAATTTGACTTATTGCTTGAGGGAGTGGGTTTTTCAGGTTAGCAGGAAGAATTGAGCACCCATTTCTTCCTTTGGACAACATCACTAGCCTGGTGCAGGACCCCATCACCTCATGCTTACACTTTTGCAATAACTTACAATTTGATAGCCCTGCCTCAAGTCTCTCTGGACTATAATCCATCAGTCACTCAGCTGTCAAATTAATCTTCCTAATCCACAGACCTGACCACCACACCCTCATCTTCAGTGAACTCCAGTCACTCTCTATCACTCTCAAGATTAAATATTAAATGTGTTCTGACATTTGAAGCCCTATACAGCTTAGTGCCCTCTAACCTTTCCAATCTTCTTATACCTTAATTCCCCCTCATGTACTACTCTTATCATCCAGGGACACTGTCCTCCCATAAAGACCTTCCATCTCTCATCTCTGGGCACTTTCACTGGCTGTCTCCCATTCCTGAAATTCTCCCCTTCCTTTCCATTTCCTAGCTTTCTTTGGAGTTCCAACTAAAATCTTATCTTCTGCACTAATGCTAATGTCTTCCCTCTGTTAAATATTTCCAATTTATCTGGTACGTAGCTTGTTTATACATAATTATTTGCATGCCGTCTCCCCGATTTGACTGTCTCTTGAGAGCAGGGCCAGTCTTTTGCCTTTCTTTGTATCCCCAGGACTTAGCATGGTGCCTGGTATGTAGAAGGCATTTAATAAATGCTAATTGATTGACTGACTAGTCCTGATGGTCAGGATGTCTCTTCACACAAAGTGGTTGGGCGCTGATAAACATTACAAAAGAATATACAGAAGAGAAAAAAAGGAATTCAGAATGGGACACAGAAAAGCAGAGCAGTGCTGGAACTGAGTAGCTAGCATTGACATAGTACTTTAAGGTTTATGAGGTGCCTTGCAAATAAGTCTCAACTGTTCCTCACTACAACTTTGGGGTATAGGAGTTCTTACTGTCTCCATTTTACAGGTGGGAAAACTGAGGCAGACAGAAGTTAAGTGACTTGCCCAGGGTCACACAGCTAATAAATATCTGAGGCTGGGCTTGGACTCAGGCCTTGGTCTAACACTTTATCCACTGCACCATGTAACTGCCTTTACATTAAACAAACCAAGTTATACATGATAGATATTCAGTGTCCTTTTTTCTCCCCCTGTCCATTTTATATAAGGGAATGTTCATATTTGTTACTGTCAAACGTATAACAAGACGAAAGAAAAAAATTTAAAAGAAAAGAATAGTTTTATAAAGAATAGAAAACTACAAAATAGTTGTATCTGTTTGGGCTATGATTACACCCAATTATAGTAGCATCCACATCATTGCTGATACAAAGGTACTTTTGTGCCTAAGAAGATGAGGTCCTTGACAGAACTCTTGGTAACTTACTTAAAAGAGAGTTGCCGTGGCCTAAGCTTTCAATCAATGTTAATTAAGGCACCTTCCACAAGGAAGGAGGTAGGTTTCTTTTTAAACTGAAAACAGGTATCCATGAAGCAGGAAAACCAACATTTTCTCTATCACTTTAAGTCTAGACAATCAATAAATCAAGCCCTGATTTGTAATGTTTGCTCATTTCCAAGGTGTAAATGCTTACACTGAGAGCATTTAGAGACAATGACTGTTGGTGACCATCTAAGGTAGATGGTCAGGATGTCTCTTCCTTGGCACTAAGGAACAGGGCAATGGAAACTCCCCAAATTGTGAGACTTTTACAACCTGAATCAAATAGAGCAAACTGCCCAAGCACTGGTCTGCCAGGAATATTAGCTCTTATTATGCCATTTGTCTCCTCCTCCTCTCCTCCTCCTCCTCCTCCTCCTCCTCTGTCCACCCTGGAATTCTTGCTACCCACTAACTGCTTTACTCAAATACTGAGGTGCCCTATGGGACCCAACACTAGGTAAGAATCAAGGCTGTTCTTTTCCATGTACTTCAACCAAATGCAGCTCAGATTTCAGCTTATATGTGTTCCCTAATTTAGAAACAAAAACTGATAAAAATGGGTGGCAGGATGTAGGAGATGGGAATATGACAAGAGATGCCTAATGATTTTGCAAGCGTCTCAAGAGGAAGCTGGTATTTGGGAAGAAATTTCAATCCAAGACAAGTCAACAAGCATTTATCAAGTGTGTACTACTATGTGCTGGGGAAGATGAGATAGAATGGGATCACTTGTGCCTGTCAAGGGGGATGAACGTGAAAACAGTGGCTGCCCTCAAGAACCTCACAAGTTACTGGGGGATACAGCATGCAAACAACTGTATTATGCAAACAGCACACAAGCAAGATATGGGATAAATGGAAGGTCATCATGACAGACAGTAGGCACCGTTATCAACGGGAAGCAAGAAAGGGAGGTGAGGTCTTATCTTGGACCTGAAGGAAGTCAGGGAAGCCAGAAGATGGAGAGAAAGAAGGAGAGAATTCCAGGCATGGGGGACAGCCAGTGAAAATGGCTGGAGCTAGGCGATGCAAGCAAGGAGGCAAGGTCATTGGATTGAAGAGTATGTGTTGGAGAATAAGATGTAAGAAGACTTGAAAGGAAGGAGGGGGCTAGGTCAGGAAAGGCTTTGAATGCCAAACAGAGGATTTTCTATTTGATCTTAGAGGTGATGGGATCTACTGAACTTTATCAAAATAGGAAGGAAGGGGGGGCAGCTAGGTGGCGCAGTAGATGGAGCACCGGCCTTGAAGTCAGGAGGACCTGAGTTCAAATCTGGCCTCAGACCAAACACTTGACACTTACTTACTGTGTGACCCTGGGCAAGTCACTTAACCCCAATTGCCTAAAAAGAAAAAAAAATAGGAAGGAAGGGATGATGTGGTTAGACCTGTGTTTTAGATAGATCAGTTTGATAACTGAGTGGAGATTTGGATTGGA